TTACAAGCACTCTGTAACTCTTACTGCAGTTACAAGCACTCCACTGCAGTTACAAGCACTCTGTACTCTTACTGCAGTTACAAGCACCCACTGCAGTTACAAGCACTCTGTACTCTTACTGCAGTTACAAGCACTCTGTACTCTTACTGCAGTTACAAGCACTCTGTACTCTTACTGCAGTTACAAGCACTCTGTACCCACACTGCAGTTACAAGCATTTTGTACCAGCAGTGTAGTTGGAAGCGTTCTCTACGTGCGTTAATTTTTGTCGTTGAATGTGTATGCGCGAGTGAGCGACCAGTGAGGTGCCTGCGTGCAGCAACGATAGACATGATTACGTCCGATGTTAATATAACAAATGGCTGCTCGTCCTGGCGGGGTGGCGACGCTGGGGAGTGATTAAGCCGACGACAGGGTGCGAAATTAACGCGAGTCCGGAGTCAAATACTCCTTGATTTTCTGTCGGACACCCTCATTTGACATTTAAGCAGGAGTCCGTGTGACTCCCTGAAAATTCTACTATACTAACTAGTTCGTTCCGGGGCACGGTCTCGCGGAACTGCCGTATTTTTCCAACAAATGTCCAAAGACAATTTGGCAGACGTGCAACCCCATGAATCTTCAAAATAAGCACACGCGTTATTGGTAATATCTTTAGTTTTGAACTTCAGACTGCGGACTCCCTCATTTTGCTGCGGACTCCCTCTTTTTGAGGGCAGGGAGTCCGTTGTTCAAAAGTTCATTTCTACCCCTGCGATGTTGATGTCTGTCACTGGAGACTGCGCTTTTCATTCGTACAAATTGCTGTGTATCTTTTTTAGTTTGGAGCTGTCCTCTGGGTTATGACATACATCTGCTATTGGTTTGATGGATATGTGCTTATGATAATGGGTATGTACTGCCTCACTACTATTGCATTATTGAGCTGGTGGCAGAAACATTTCGTGAAAAGTTTATTATTAACTTTTTAAGGAATTAATATATATATATATATAGATTCATATTTATCTATATATACATTTTATAAGGGTGTGAATGGTGTATATAACTGTGGTATAGGTCTGTAAATAACCATTATATATTGCCTACCCTGTACTAAGTTAAATTTTTTATGTACGCTTTTACCCATTCGAAAATGGGGAATATTTCGTGAAACCACCGACAGTCGCACCGCATTCAGTAACACCACACATACTGATACTAAGCCATTTCTGAGCTTTAGCTATTCTGTGTTGACATCGCTGCCCCCCCGGAGCACGATGTACTGGTTTGAACCGTGTCTGTTTGCCTCGCAGGTTGGGTGACGTTATTCACGATCCCGAAGATCTACGAGGCTCACAAGGAGAAGATCGACTGCTACTTAGAAAAGGCTCAGGAAAAAGCGAAAGAGATCGTTTCCAAGTACGTTACCCCCCCCCCCACACACACACACACACACAAACAGACGGACAGCCCTAGAACCCTGCTTTCGTTAAATCTCGTCGTCGCGACAAACGCACACACGCGCACGCACACACGCGCGCACCCCCACACACACACACACACACACACACACACACACGCGCACACACACACCGTCGGGTAACGTGAGCTTAGCTGTGTGTGGTTAGTGTGTGACATGGGAATTTACTAGTTATATTATATAATTGTATACATGGTATATGGGATCCGCAGTCATTGAATTTGACAGTCCTGTCATGGGACGATCCTGCGAAATGCCCAAGTTTGATGAGAAAATTTCGGTGGGGAGATCAAGGATGTATTTAGGTTTGTTTACTGAAGATACAGTAGGCTACTTTTGACTCTCATCACAATGTTACATATCTTAAAAGTTAATTAACAGGGGCCGGTTTCACGAAGCGTACTTAAGTATTGAATCGTGATTAAATCACTAATCATGATTAACTTCTCGTACTTAAATTAAAGTGACTGTTTCACGAAGCGTAATTAACTTTAATCGCTTCGTGAAACCGGCCCCAGGTTATTTGGAGAGATAAAGATTGAATGTTATAATTAAAGGTTATGGTTGGGTAGTAGATAGGGAGAGAGAGCAAATAAGGATGAGAGGGTGCATGATGTAGAGCGATGAAGTAGTGTATGTGATTAAGATTGGGAGCAAGCTCTAACTACAGTTGTGTTCTTCGATTTCAGGGTCAAGGAACGCATACCAATTGGCAAGAAGGAAAAGAGTCAGTAAGGCTAGGTGAACATCGGGTACACCTTCATGGTTTCTAACCATCAGTGGTGATGTGGCTGGCCCATCCAGGTGCATGGTGGAATCGTAGATCAAACTATATACTGTCGTACGCAGGGATGGAAAAGTCTATTAAAAAAATTTTTCCCGCACAGTTTCCACTTCGGATGTAACCGTCATATCTCTAGCATGCATTGATTGCACCCTCGTAGTGATGCTTACACTTACACAGCCTGATCGAACAGTATACAGCGACAGACTTCAGCACCCGCCTCGGTGTTTCCATTTGAATGTGAACAGCCTCTAGATCTATAGTGTTAAAACTCCTCTTGATTTCGTAGTTACCGTGAACTGTTCTCGATTCCCTCATCTCCTAGGGGTTCCTTTTTCGGTCGAGACAGGGTTTTTTGCTAGATAGAGATAGTGCTGTGCTCATAGCTGTGTTATCGAACGTGATGCTAATTTAGTACGATGATAATGATGATGATAAGAGTGTAATATATTTGGTCCGTGACGGCAGTAGCGGGTTCGTAGTTGATTAATGTTCGAGACATCTTGATCGGAGGTGATAAGCAAGGTATTGCAGTTTTTGGAAGGTAGCTAGAGTCAATATACATACACGTGTGCTTATATAGCAAGTTCATTGTGCATAACGTTTTGGGTAAAAAATCAATTATATATGTTGTCAATATGGTCAGCACAACCACTCGAGGTAATTTATTACTACTATTTTGGTAACTGCCCGACAGATTCCACGATAGTTGTTTGATTATCTTACTCACTAGATGGCAGCTTTTATATTGTCATCACATAAGTAATAAGTAATTTGATGGGCTTCAGCAGTATGGATGTGATCAATATCGTTAAAAATGGATATAAGCGTTTTTATCTGTTTTTTTTTTGGAATTGTGTTTCAGGTCTCAGCTGCTGTGTAGACTGTACTTGGCACTATTGCTGGTTATTAGTAAGTGGGTGTGATACGTTACTCACTACGCGCACTGTACTCAGCTTGAAGGTTGGTCAGTTCACTCCTGCAGAGCTCTAAGAATGTTTAGTGGGCTGGCATTCATCAGAACGTGCTTAGAGAGAGTATGTCGCAAATTCAAGTGCATTGAATGTTCATTATTCCAGGTTGAATTTCCATTGTATTAAAAAAATGTTGTAGTCGTAATTTATGTCCGATTTTCGATCACTTGCTGGGTTTCAATTAAGAATGCTGTCCATTAACAAATTTGCATGAAATCTTATTTATATTTCCTCTGTCGTTAGATATGGAGGTTTTTTATTGTCCGAAACGGTGGTACTTTTTATTGCAGCTGTTTCACTGCAGCATATAATTAATGTCCAATGTAATCTAATTACAATTATCTTGTATTCAATTATGCCGTGTCTGCATAAATGTGGATATATATATATAAAAAAATATGGCAATCTTTTTTTAGATGTAGTCAGGCTGGTATTTCCTTGTTCGATACGAGATTTAACAACAATTGTGCTCTCAAGTATTTGATTGCGGCCGTCTAGTTTTTAATCTAGCTATTCACTATTATCTAATCGCTCAATTGTCGTACATGTATATGCTATAAAATTCTCCATACTTGCATTGCCTATTGTTGTTATCACGACATGTTCACTTATTTAAATTGCCCAGTTGTCCTACATATATATACATAATTATATAACGATTAACTAGATATCATCGGCTAATTCGGTTTCACACAATTCAAGCATCGGTGGTTGGATGCGAACGGTAGGAGGTGCCTGTAGCGTGGACGGTTACCGTCACTACGCGGAGAAAGCTAGCAGAAACTGTTGCGAAAACCTTGAATGTCTCCTAATAATAAAGCCACTTTGTACACCTACGCTCTCGTCGCCGCGTTTTCAATGCTCAGACGGAAGGAACACTTGTTTGTGTAAAAAAAATATTTAATAATTTGTCGTACAATGGACTTCAATGAACCATGACCACTTGGTTATTATACGGCCAAACACAGCTGCTTGTACACCGTGCGTTTGGCTACACAATAGTTACTATTCTAAATACCACGTAGTTTAAATCCCTTTTAACCCTCAACCTACTGTAGGGCAGCACATAGACTGTCACCTGAATGATTAGGTAATACGGTCAGGCACTATGTTCACAGGAGAGGAGCGCTAGTCTACGAAGCTGCGTTACTCGCACTGGGTTCTTGGCTATAAATCGCATAAAAGAACACACTGCTTGTAGTACGGTGATGGGCACAAATGCGCACCACTCTCGCCCACGCGATTCCCCATCATGTGGACCAACAACACCAGAGCACGAGTAAGGAAACACAGCGTCTACTGTCCGACCTAACGTTACCGCTGCCACAACATTTTAGACGCACTTGGGAAACACAGCAACAACTAATAATGGAATCCAACACGGGGAAAACCTTGTTGCAGACCGGCATATCACATGCGGTGTCTTGCATTTCATTTCGTACATCATCGTACGCCCTATAGACCTAATAAATGCAGATATATGTCATATTGGACAAAATCATTTGACATTTTTACATGGGTACTATGAAGACGAGCACGCACAACATATATGCAACACACGCGTTAAAAATGCCTTATGTGGGTTTCAATGATAAAGTCTGCCTCACAATTTGCAGTCATATGTACCTAACACTTGTTTAAACTAACCTGTTCTGGGTAAATAGGCACACTGTATCCGAACTGACTTGTACGTTTCCCCCCATTTAGAATAGACTAGAATGTCTGCCCAATATTAAGATTTTCCCCCCAGTTTGACATTGCTATATTTCTGCACGTCTTGCCGTACATACGTCTCAATTTTGCAAGCTATGTGCTGCACTAGTACAGTTCAGAACGTTAATAAAAGAATACTTGCTTTATAATATTACTTGCAAAATCAATGTCGATATGTTGGTACTTAACACTGACATTCAGCAGAAGGCAACTTGGTTAATTGTATTGTCTACTATTATCATTACATTACAGATTACTGTTATTAACATTAAATGCACATACCTACTCATCTCTACACACGACACCAAACCTATACGGTATAATTTTATTTACACAAGTTATTGGGATTCGGAGTATGCATCTTGCGCTAAAACCGACAATACGTAAACATAAGGTTAGTAATGGGGATGTAATGGTCTTCTCAAACGTCCAGTCATTTCCCACAATTTTAAAATCATGAACTGGAATGTGCTTCGTTCACAGTACGGTTTAAAACGACTAAACCCATCGGACGATGTGGATTTCTCTGACAAAAAACTCCACATTTCCTCAAGGTTTAAAAGTTCCCCTGATCCTCAGTATAAGCACACATTTCGCCTACTGTACAAGTAGTATATTGACTTGGTAACATAGCCATAGGTACGTACGGCTTGCGTTTTAACAAGCTCCGACACATAACATAATTGTTTCAATATTATCAATCAGGTTGTACATAATTATATACATATATCAAAGAAGACATTCCCCCATCTTTCCCCCCCGTCTTCCCCCTTCACGCTTTCTTGCTCCGTCTCTCTATCTCGCATTTTCTCTTTCTCGATACCCCTTTGTGAGAGTATGCAAAACTACAGAAGGTAAAACATTGTTTCTAAATTTCTCCGTTTCCATCAATTAGCACATAATAAATCTGGTAAAACTGAAAAATCTTTGCAGATGACGTCTTAGTATTGCAAATATCGCCATCTCAACATATACCAATTTACTTTAAAATTGCACCTCCACAATACACTCGTTAGACGCTCTCTTTCTCAAGATTCCCATGCATCAGTCAGCAAACTAAACATTTCTCTCACGATGCAGTACTTCTGACTGACCGTCCTGTTCTCTCTGATGGCCAGGGCTGGATTTAGACATGGAGAGGGCATAAGCTATGGGAAGCTGTAAAGGCCCTATTTGGTAATTGTTAACAGAGAATAACAACAGCGTAACAACAGAGAAAAAATGCCGCCAAGATGCATAACAAATCCGTGCGGGGCGGGGGAAGGATTGCTCCTTGAGAACTTTAAAAAATATGCCTTTTTTATTCAATGAGATTTTCCGAGGGTCCTTCAGACACTGTGAGGCCCTCTATACGCTGTAGCTTGTTGAGCTTGTGCCTAAATCCGGCCCTGCTGATGGCATGTGGGAAATATATCCGCAAAGACACCGCCCTCATAGGATACCCTGCTGCTGTGCATACTGTCTCCAACCCTCATCCTCGGCCTCGCATATGATATATCGCTGTCCCACTTGCCTCTCCAGTTCGCGAATGTCCAAGTATGTCTGGTAGTCCTATAAAAATGAATAAATCGGTTTTCAACTCATAAAGACGTTTTCAAATTTTTTTTAATAGACGCCAGTCAAGAAAATGGTAAAATTAAGGATTGGTAATGAAACAATGGTTAGGTCCAATTTATTGCCCTAAGAAAACCCCAAATGTGAGAAAGGCATGCATGCAGATCTGTGAAAACCCAATTATTCTATCTAAGAATTTGTCAGAACAATAAGTATAAGCACAGACACAATTCCTTTTTGTAATAAAATGCAAAATTCTCAACTTTTAAATTTCAATTCAAATATTAAACAGTAGCTAAGAATAAGTGTAAATTCATTTGATTATAAGGACATGGTCTACAACGTGTGAAAATACAACTGGAAAGAGTAACCTCTGTCACCACGATTTCTTGCAACAAAATTTGCACGTCCACGTTTCCATACTCCTATATTCTAACCTGAAGCCACGGGTGAAATAGTGCCTTGTCCACCGAGTACCGCCTCTTCATCTTCACTTGCAGCAGGTTGTTAATGAGATCAACAGCTGAAACGGTAACAACAACGGACATTATACGATCAACCTGTCAGCATCTTGTGTTAGCCATTTGTCAATAGTGAGACTATTGGTGATAATTATCTTATATTATCAGGAGCTAATAATGACAAATGTCATTATTAGCTCCTGATAATATATTATCGATTAGTGCATCATGTGATAAATCGTTGAAATTCCATTGGATAACGCAGCAGGCACTATGAAGCAATATTGCTTGCGCGACGCATTGTTATTATAACGCATTGTGTTCACGTCACGAATCTCCTGCGTCTGGGCGCCACGCAAAAGTTTCGAACGGCGGTTGTGTTTGTGTCGAACGTTTTGTTACATCGAATGCACCGGCAAATTAGGGAGTATAAAGAAGGTATATAAGCACGAAAAGTAGATTGCATAGTCATGTGATGCACTAAAAACATTAATGCCTGTTGTTGGGGGCACTATGCTCTCATAGTGTTGCTTTGGGAAGGAATAGTGCCCGAGCTTCCTTCCCTCAGCAACACTATGAGAGCATAGTGCCCCCAACAACAGGCATTAATGTTTTTAGTGCATCACATGACTATGCAATCTACT